TTTTCCCAAGCATGTTGGGGCACGGATTCGAACGCACGACTCCTTCGTCCTGCAAATAATCCAGCGCACAGACAATGCTGCGCTGTGGCATGCTGAAAGAACCATGGCCTTCTCTGCTGCGTGGACTTCCCCATACACTAGGGGGCAATGTGATGAGTCATGAATTCAAACCCCTCCTCCTTCACCAACAATGAAATGCGAATCAATCTTGGAAACGTCCTTTATCATCTGGCATGCCTGTTGGGCTTTTGCATCGCCAGCACGTACTGGATGTCTTGCAAAGAATCCAAACTCTGTATCTCATCCTCACGTTTTGCAAGCAGGCCGAGCGGCTCACCTGGCCAAGTCCTGCTTAGTGAGGTCCCAGATGCAAACAATCCTCGAATCCAGCCGCAAGCCAAAGCCCTGAGCAAGCAACTCTTGCCAATTCCACACGGCCCAACAATTACTAGTGTTTTGGGGGTAGACAGCACCCCCACTTTATTTAGAGTGGGCCCCATTTGCTTATTTGGATTTGCATGCCACCTCATTGCTTACATAAGCATGCCATTACTATAAATGAAAGATTGTTCTAGTATATTATTTTCAATTATTTTTAAGTATTTAAAAGTAAAAAATAAAATATACTATTTATTCTACTATAACAACATTATCTTGATTGTATAGCTTAATATGACTACATAGAATATTAAATGCAACTTCCTTTATTTCAAGATATATTTTTCACTGAATATATTCTTGAAAGTAAGAGCTGTATAATCCTTTTGTTGCACCATAGTGAGGAAAAGATCTTTTCACTGCATTCCATGTTAATTTAATACGATTTGTACAATCACATGATCAACAAAATTCTAGGAGTGATTGATTATATAATGAGTGAAGTTCAACTGATTCAACCATTCTGAATCATAACCAGCCCAACAATCAGTATATAAAATTGTTCTTAAGAAATTAATTATACTTATTAATTAAGAATAATAATATAAATAAAACTTACCTAGTTCAACATATAAAGTTTGTGTAGTACGATTAGCCATTGTAACTATAAACATTCAATTTGAATCATGTTCAATTCCTCCAAAGATCCATTGACTTTCTACTCTTCTACCACAATTATATTTTTGCTTACCAAACTTACTTTCATTAATTTCCACAATTCTTCTTGGACCACCAATCTTTTGATTACCCCATTGTAATATGATAACATAAATATCACAACAAAAGTTGTACTAATTTGTTGTCATGTGCTCACTTTTAATACTACACTCAATATGAGCTTGATCTTGTGGCATTTTAATGCACTAACAATACATCACTCTAAATATTTGAGAAAATGTGAGATTACTATTTGCAAACCATGTATTAGTTTTAAGACATTTTGTGGTATTGCAATTTTTACAATTCCACTTTAAACCATCTTTATAACCTCGATTATCAGATCAATATCTCATTGGTCGATGACATCTTTCACATTCTCTCTCTTCTGGAAGAAGACCAATTGTAATACAAAAATAAAAGAATTTACTTTACTATTAGTTCTCTCAATAAGATCAGAAACATATTCCAATCTAGTATAATACTAAAGAGAATGAATAAAATAAGAAAGAAAATATGAGCACAAACACAATGAGGAAAAACCTAAACCAAGCATAGGTTCTATACTTATGAATTATAGCCGTTCATTCACTGGCTAATTATAAAATTAAAGTTGTTAACATATTAGTTAACCACATCTACTAATTAAAGTTTAACGTTACTAATTTAGAGTTAGTCATTAAACATTTAGGGTGCAGAGTTGGGCATGACTAAGTGCACTAAGGAGGAAGCGAGGTGGCAAAGGTGCAGCCACATAAGAGAGGGGGGTGCTATATTGTGTGCGTTTTTGTCTCTTTGCCTGCTTCCACCAAAGCCTTGAGATGAGGGCGACTTAGGCATCAACAGTATCTTGCCGATTCCTGGATATGGAATCACTGTGATCTCACCATAGTGCATAGCTTACTGTCAATTGCAGTGATTTCACCTTGACTGCTGTGGCCAGATCGTATTCCCCTAATTTGTTCCAGCTATCCATTCTAGGCAATTGTGACCGTCCAATGCTCATTCGCACCTATGGGCCAGAATCACATTGAAGCACATCGTTGATCCAGCTCATCTCTTGCTTTTAAAAGTGCCAATATGGATTGTGAGAGATTGGAAATCTTTCACAGTACAGTGACGAGAAGGTGCTCTACATCAACGTGAACTACTCGTGTTTGGCTTGGATTGTCTCCTTGAGATTCTTTGAAACCTTCAAGTTTGCTTCTCCAGTTTTATTTTGTATTTCATTATTACTAAGGCTTTTACAAGAAACACATCTTTTTAACAATTCTCCCATGACAAGTAGAGAAAGTACCTAGATCCTAGAGCCCTTGTTACCCAGAGCTAGCAGGGTATTGCAAGAGCTCCCATGTTTACCACCCTGCCCTTGTTTCCCAGATAGAGCAATAGATCAAACAATATACTAGTGTACAAGAATCTAGATATTGTGTCATTTTCCTTCTCAAATGTTTTAGGATTTTTTACATTTTAATTCTTCATTAAATAAAGCTAAAGTAAATTCCATTAGAAGTTTGCATTACCTCCAGAACTACTTTTCCACTAGTGCAATTGAGGAACATGTGATCAAACCTTCAACTCTTGATGGTCCCTTCTACAGACTGTCTTTTAAAGAACCAACATGAAGGGAATGGCAATGTTCCATAGCCTTTTAAAAAAGGTGTGCGAGATGATTGAGTCCATAATTTTCCACAGTGTGCTTAGCAGCAGCCACCAATGTCTAGGAGTGTAGACATTGTTGACCCTAAACCGTTAGTTATTGTTGTGACCATTGGTGTTTGATGGTTATGGCAACGCAAAGTACAACCCATGCGGGTGGGTGAGCAAAGCAGTGTCTCTATCCTCTTATGTAAGAGTGATGATAAGCAGTTCACATCCAAGTCACTATTCACAACTCCCAACTCTTATATCATCAATCACTATATCTACCATCACTGTCCTTTAGGATGTATTTCCTGGCATTGGCCAAGATTAACGTCCACTATGAAAGAAAGTGATCACTAAAGGAAAGGTTCAAAGTAGATACTAGCATTCAAGGAGCAAGACTTGTCAAGGCTGTACAATGCTTCTTCACCTCTTTCAACAATAACAGCTAAACAAATATTAGTGGAACAAGATGCCAATCATGAATACATTCATTGGATATTTAAGGCTAAATGTCTTTGAATTTGAGTAATACTAGGTTATGTGACCTCTTGCAATGTTTAAATTCAAGAGTTACATTTGAGTTTAATTAACTAAATTTAATTAACTAATTTTGTTAGTTAGTTTATATGTTGAGATTGATATATGATGGTTTAGTATGCTCTAGCTAGGCTTAATCCAAGGTATAGTGTCAAGAGAGAGGGGCTCTTGGGAGAGTTGTGGCTCTTAATTTTTATTCATAAAGGTATAAATTTGTAAAGAAGCACGGTAAATTATAAATAACTAAAGAAAATGATTTGAAAGACAATTCATTGGTGTAGTTCATATCCTTTACCCTATAATTATTTACTATAGGATAACCATGGAGTGAAATTTAACTCTTGAACATATATGCTAAGGGCAATGGAGCGGGACTTGAGTTTGAAGGCCTTAGGCCACTAAAAAAGAGACAGAACTAAACTTTTGAATATATAGTAAGTAACAAAGGAGCATTTAAGATCTCTAAGATTATGATGTCAAATTGAGCCAAACAAAGTCTAATGCTATTTCAGCATATTTGTGGCCTAATATGAGGATATAAGTACAGTTAGCATAGTATGGATCTTTTACTTAAAACCAAGCCAAATATAAAACAAAAATAGATATATTTACTGCAATATCTCAAGTTAGTCAATTATGCCTAATCTACGCATTACCCCTATTATACATTTTAAAATCTTAGTCCAAAGAGTTAATCTTTGGGACAATTTTGAACCCTCAAATCCTACTTCGAAAGGAAAAAAATCCTCTAGACAAATTTTTTGTGTAAGAACAAAAGCTCCTTCCATTCTGTGTAACACTTTTTTCGGCTTTAAACCCTTTTTAAGCTCTTGTTTTCTCTTCCTCTAGGCAGTGTTGGATCAGTTGTCTCGGCCTCCGTCCCACAATGCGGTGGTCGATTGGAATGCTATTCGCTCTACACACCCACGCAAGAGCATCGTAGGCCCATGGCGATGGCTCCAGCTGGTCGGATTCCACCATGGCCACGTACGCCGCCATGGCCTCCCGCCACCAGTGCCTCCACCAGCTTGTTATACGTGATGGAATTGGGCTCGATCCCCGCCGCCTCGAGCCTGCGCATCCACTCCACCACCCCCGCCGCGTCGCTGCGGCGCGCGCACACCGTGATGATGGCATTGTAGCTCGCCAGCCCCATGGCCACTCCTTGCAATCGCATCTCCTCCACGATCCTGGGAATGGCAGCGGCGGTGCCACCGCTGGCCTTGCCGTGCGCCGCAATGAGCGTCGTGTAGATCAATTCGATCGGCCTCACGCCTCCCCTCCGCATGCTCTCCACCAGCTCCATGTCCCGGATCGAGACCAATCCCCTTCTCGATCGAACTGAGCAGCGATCCAAAGGATCGCGCGTCAGGTGCATGGCCCGCCCGGATCATCCGAGCGAAGAGCTCCAAGCATCTCTTTACTCCGCCCGGCGCAAGCGCACGCCACCATCGCTACGTCCCACGCCCCCTTCCCGGGCTCTAGCCCCTTGTCCTCCATCTTGCCCAGAGGAGCATCAAGCTCCAC